AGGTAGTGCCAAACTTGTTGAACCAGTGGCCAGACACCCCCCATGGAGAGGAACAAAGGAAGGTGGAATGCTGCCCTGACTGGGGGGCAGGGCTGGAAGGGAATTTAGTTAGTTCTGTCTGAGAGCATGGAGGAGAGCCTAGGGGAAGGGGCTGGAGTTTAGGGGCCCAGTCTCCTCCATCTCAAGGGGGCCTGAGGCATCCTAGCCCAGCTCTGTGACCAGATTCCATCTGTGCTGTGCTGTATCCTGGAGAGGCAATAAACTTCCTCTATTCCACTGGCTGGTGCAGTCTGTTTGTGCCATTTCGGGGTGCAGGAGACGGGGGACCCCCAACGCGCCGTCACACCAGGTCAAAACCAGACACCTGGCAACCCTATTTGGTAAGCAGAATGAAGCTGGGTGCTATGACCTTGCTTTGGAGCCACATGACTGCTTTAAAAGAGGGACAAAGGAACCGGCAAAGCTTTGAGTCAGGACTTCCCCAAGGAGAGGTGCAGCTCTCGGTGAGGACAGATTCATCAGGCCCTAGCACGACAAAGCATGGGACACACACGAAACTGTGTGTTAAGCAAGCGGATACAGCAGGGGAAATCAGTGGAGCCCTGTGCCATGGGGATCCGCAACAGAAGACTGAGGGTATGTCTACACTAGAAAGTTAGTTCGAACTAGCTAGTTCGAACTAAGCGCTCCGCTAGTTCGATTCAAATTCGAACTAGCGGAGCGCTTAGTTCGAACTAGGTAAACCTCATTTTACGAGGACTAACGCCTAGTTCGAACTAGCAAAACGCTAGTTCGAACTAGTAAGTCCACATTGAGTGGACTCTGAACAGGGCTTAAGGATGGCCGGAAGCAGTGCCGGCAGGGCATAAAAGGAGGACTTAGAGCATGGAGATACTGTCTCAGGCTAGCCGAGGGCTGCGCTTAAAGGGTCCCGGCCCCCACCCCGGACACACAGTTCTAAGGGGTGCCCCGCTTGCAAAGAAGTTCTGGCTTGGAGTGCCCTGAGTGCCCACACTGGGCACATCCCACCACTCGGCCATCAGCCCGGCTGCACTTGCCGCAGGCTGCCATCTGGGGAGAGGGAGTAATTGGGGGGCTGCAGGAGAGCTTCCACCCCCAGAAGCCCGCAGAGCCAGTCCAGTCCTCCCCATCGGGGGCTCGTACCCCATTCCTCCCTCACCTCCTTCCACTTGCCCTTCCCTAGCCCCCCTTCTTCTTGGGGTACAAAATAAAGATAACGTTTCTTCCAACATTGACTCTGTCTTTATTGAAAAAAACTGGGGGAGACTGGGAAAAGGAGGTGGGAGAGGGGAAGAGAAAGGCTGGGAGAGGGGAGGGCAACTAACATGATCAGGGGTTGGGAACAGGTCCCAGATGAAGAGAGGCTACAGAGACTGGGGCTGTTCAGCTTAGAAAAGAGGAGACGGAGGGGGGACAGGATAGAAGTCTGTAAAAGCAGGGGTTGGGTGGAGAGGGCGCATTCAGAAAAGTTCTTCCTGAGATCCCATAAAGAAGGACTAGAGGACACCAAAGGAAAGGAATGGGTAGCAGGCTTGAAACTAGTAAGAGAAAGTTGTTCTTGACAAAGCAAATAGTTAACCTGTGGAACTCCTTGCTGCAGGAGGCTGTGAAGGCTACAACTAGAACAGAGTTTAAAGGGAAGGGAGATCAAGTCATGGAGGTTGGGGCCATGGAGTCCTATTAGCCAGAGGGTAGGGGTGGTGTCCCTGCCCAAAGTTTGTGGAAGGCTGGAGAGGGATGGCACGAGACAAATGGCTTGGTCATTGTCTTCGGTCCATCCCCTCCAGGGTTCCTAGGGTTGGCCGCTGTGGGCAGACAGGCTACTGGGCTAGATGGACCTTTGGTCTGACCCAGGACGGCCATTGTAAGCTCAGGGCTCAGTGTCGGGGGGCTCAGTGGACCCCCTTGATTTTCATGCACACCTGGTCCTGGGTGGCCAGGCTGGCAGCTCTCCTGCCCTAGACGGCCACTTTCCTGTGCCTAGTGCGGAGATCGTGGACAAGGTCCACGATGTCCGCACTAGCCCAGGAAGGTGCCCGCCTCTTGCGGTCCAGGGCAAGCTCCCGGGAGCCGCCAGCCTGGTCCCGGCAAGAGGGGGTGGGCTGGGGGGCATCGGGTGGGCGGCTCTGTGCCGTGCCAGGTGCAGGGTCTGCTAGCTGGGTGCTGGCAGGCCTGCACCTGGCACGGGCACCGTAGCCAGCCCGTGCCCCTTTAAGGGGTCCGGGGCCGGGAGGGGGGCATAGAGTTTCCCTGGTGTTGGCCAGAGTGGCCACCAGGGAAACCTGGGGAGGGCTAGCCTCCCACTAGTTCGAACTAAAGGGCTACACAGCCCTTAGTTCGAACTAGGTAAACCTCATTTTACGAGGACTAACGCCTAGTTCGAACTAGCGCTGTAGTGTAGACGTACCCAGAGAGAGTACGCTTATTAAGTTTGCAGATGATACCAAACTGGGTGGGGTTGCGACTTCTGTGGAGGATAGGGACATAATTCAAAATGACCTTAGCAAGTTAGAGAAATGGTCAGAGCTAAACAGGATGAGGTTTAATAAAGAGAAATGCAAAGTGCTCCACTTAGGAAGGAGCAATCAGTTCCATACATACAAGATGGGAAGCGACTGTCTAGGAAGGAGCATGGCGGAAAGGGATCTAGGGGTCATAGTGGACCACAAGTTTAATATGAGTCAACAGTGTGACGCTGTTGCAAAAAAAGCAAATATGATTCTAGGTTGTATCAACAGGTGTGTTGTAAGCAAAACTCGTGAAGTCATTCTGCCGCTCTACTCTGCACTAGTTAGGCCTCAGCTGGAGTACTGTGTCCAGTTCTGGGCGCCACATTTCAAGAAAGATGTGGAGAAATTGGAAAGGGTACAGAGAAGAGCGACAAGAATGATTAAAGGTTTAGAGAACATGACCTATGAAGCCAGGCTTCATGAACTGGGCTTGTTTAGTTTGGAAAAAAGAAGATTAAGGGGGGACATGATAGCGGTTTTCAAATATCTAAAAGGGCGTCACAAGGAGGAAGGAGAAAATTTGTTCCTCTTGGTTTCTGAGGACAGGACAAGGAGTAATGGGTTTAAAGTGCAGCAGGGGAGGGTTAGATTGGACATTAGGAAAAAATTCCTAACTGTCAGGATGGTCAAATATTGGAATAAATTGCCAAGGGAGGTGGTAGAATCTCCCTCTCTGGAGATATTTAAGAACAGGTTAGATAGACAGCTGTCAGGGATGGTGTAGACGGAGCTTGGTCCTGCCTTGAGGGCGGGGGGCTGGACTCGATGTCCTCCCGAGGTCCCTTCCAGTCCTATGATTCTATAATTCTACCCACGGCTATAAGCAGATGGCCTCCGCTTCGCCAGCCTCTGACAATCAGAACCCGGCCCAACAGCGGGGAGAGACCAGAGAGCCTGTCGCAGGAAGCAGTGCACGTGACTGGCGTTTGCAAACACTCCACGAGGCGGCCGTGGGGAGCCGAGGTAAAATACCCCTCGCACAGAGGTGACACATGCTCGTTCCTCTCGGCCCCTGCTCTGCAGCAGCCCCTAGAGTGTCAGCCTCTGCTCCGGCCCCTACATGAGCAAGAAGATGCCACTCTCTCTGCTTCGTCCTGCTTGTTGGCAAGAAAGGAGAGCAGTCTGCAACAGCTGTGGACACGTAGTGGGAGAAGGATTAGTGGAACTGTTGCACACACTGGGATGCAGAGGAACAACAAAAGAAGCAGGCGGATCATCCGACAAACCACAACCTGTGACAGCTAGGACTATAATAGAGTTTAAAGAGAAGCTGGATAATTTCATGGAGGTTAGGTCCATAAAAGGCTATTAGCCAGGGGATAAAATGGTGTCCTTGGCCTCTGTCTGTCAGAGGCTGGAGAGAGATGGCAGGAGACAAATCGCTTGATCATTTACTTCAGTTCACCCTCTCTGGTGCACCTGGTGCTGGCCACTGTCGGCAGACAGGATACTGGGCTAGATGGACCTTTGGTCTGACCCAGTACGGCCGTTCTTATGTTCTAACCCCCCGACGAGCCTGCGAAAGTCTACTCCTGATGGCTTGAGTCAAGAGGAGACCAAGCACTAGGGAACTAGCTTGCTTTGGCCGAGACCGAGTGGATCGGCTCACGTTTCTCTGACTTCCACGAGCTACGGGCTTTAGGCGCTCAGAGCAGCATAGGCCCCACGGGAATGAGGAGGCTGTTGCCATGGGCACTGACTTTTCTGGCACACACAGGGCGGGCCAGGTGGCCCAGGAGAGACTACTGAGGCAGCACCCGGAAATCTTTATTTTATTTGTTCCATTTTATCCATTCCATTATTAAAAGGCGCCAGAAGGCCACTGGCTGTGTGGGTGGGTGGGATTTCACATAGCACGAGGGGATAGGAGCAGCCCTGTTAGCTTTGAGAACATATTAGGAACAACAAATTGGTCGTCTCTTCCCCACTCATTGCCCTGAGCTGTTTTTACCTCCATAGCTGCAGTAGACAACTCTTGGGTCCTTTTCCGCAGCCCACTGACGTCAACAGGATGGTTTCCAGCCACTTCCTAGGAGCTGTCGATTGGACGGGTGCTGTGACTGGGCTGAAACGGGACAAAGCTGCCTTTTGCTAAACCCAGGAAGCAGAAGTATTTCCCAACGATTGCCCAAGACAGTCGGAATTCAAACAAAGGACAGTGACACAGCATGAACGACCAGAGTAAGCGTCAGGTGCAGAATTTTATTTAGCTGTAACAAATACTCCATACATAAAGCATACATACAAAAAAACCAGCATAAAATAATGGTGGATGAAACCAAGGCAAAGATCATCACAACTTCGAACAGACAGTTCAAACATGCAGACTCCCCCGTTTTAATTTACTGAACTCAACTGGATCTTTGGTAGCTTGGTTGGCTTTAGAGACGAACCAAAACTTTTAATGGAAAGGAAAGAGATGTGCGTCTCTGACAGATCAAGGGTCAGAGGTGCCAAGAATCACTCTGGACCAAAGCATCCATTGCTCACTCACCAGCTAAACTGAAAGCTACAGTTAATACCAGAATTAAGTCATGCCTCCCAATGAACAAAATATAAAAAATACTGCAGCTGATCGGTCTTTTATAGATTTCATTATACAACGGTTTCAAAAATAGGCTTTTATTTTCACAAATCTTCAATGACTGTTAAACTTCATTTCTTTCCAAACAGTGAAGATAGAAAAAGGCACTATGAACTCAAACCACAGAACATTTCTGGAGAAATGCTCTCTCCACCCCGGTTTCAGAAGGACAGATGGATTTAGCATTGTACCGCTCTTTTGTGCTGTTATTAAAAAACCTGGACTCCAATGCACAAACCCTGCAGGAATATTTAACAGGCATCCACAAGAGGCCTGCATCCAACGGAAAGGTTAGACGCATGTTGTTGGCATCAGTATCTCTCACCGCTACCCCGTGCCTATCCATTGCGTAAGATCAACCGGGCTGCCTTTATGCTCTCCAGCACAATGCGAGCTTAGAAGCTACAAGGCCTTGCTCCCGCCTGGCACAGGGAAGACTGGGTTACACCGAGCTGAAAGCAAGGACGATAATCTAACCAGAAGAAAGGCAAAGTAAATTCGTTAACCTGAAAAAGAAACCCACTCGACGGCAACGTTTAAATCTCCACCTTCACATTCATGCACCTTTTGGCATTGAAATTCTGTAGGCTGCAAGAATAGGAATTTTGTTTTGCCCAGGCAATCGTCTCATATTTTGGGCCATGTAATTTGGTGGCTTTATATACCGGCTGTTGCAACGTCCACCCTGCTATGGGCCTGCCTGCTAGTGACTAGCCAAATGGAGGAAACAAAGCTGCCTGGTCAATTTAAGAACTCGTTCAGGAGATGCTTTTTTCCAATGAATAAGTCTTTGGCATCAGCAGCCCCCGAGGCCCTGCCATTAAGGTGCCAACCGGTAAGCATCAGGTGAGCTCTGGGAAATCCCGACTTAAGCCATCATGGTCAGGAATGACAATAAGTGTCGGGTTGGCTAATGGAGAAATTCACCCAGTCACTCAACTCGGGCAAACTGCGTCCCATCTACTCCCTCCCCCGGGCGCGTCACACACACCTTGCCCAGAAATGGAGTGAGTACGGCTGAGGTTAGGCACAACTCCCCTCGGAAGGCCCCTTGTCACACAACACCTTTTCACAAAGCCAGGCAATGGTGCAAAATTTCACCGACTGTGGAGCAGGGCAAGAAGTGGAAAGCCAGGTCTACGGCTAAGGCAGCAGAGAAGATGAAATCACTCGAAAGGGATTTTCAGAACTCAGGGGGTGGTAGAGATGCACGGGGGAAAGAATTTAACACCAGGCAATTCCATCTGCTCCACAGGAGGACTTGCACCGAGTCAGCGACAGCTGACACTGGATGCACCAGGCTCTCTAGGTCAAGGACCAGAGTCAATAATGCCCGAAGAGGCCTGGTCTAGTCACAAGATGGTGGCAGCAAGGCGGCATGGATGCAGGTGAGTCTGCTAGGTGCAGAGCAGAGCTCTTACCACCTCTGGGGTCACATCTGAAGTGTATCATGGCGTCAGGGGTTCTTCAGAAAGGATCCAAGCTTGACTGACGCATGACAACCCTGTGGAGAAGACCTGGGAAGACTCAGATGCTCCAGGTGGCACCGCTGTAGCCATTTAGAAATGGAGCAGCTGCCTTAGGAGAGGCTACTAGAACAAGGCAGCACCCAGGGAGGGGAGATGGCCTCGCTAGAGAAACCCTGCTGTTGCTGAAGCCTGGAGAACTCGTAGGTAGACTAGATCTCTCTGGGAACAGGCCCAGAACTAGGGCTACGATTTGATAGTAAGTCTCGAGAACTGTCCGAGTCCCAGGGGAAGGGAGACCACTGGAAGTGCCTGTTGGGAAGAGAGCTGGGGTTTGCCTCGGGAGCAGAGAGGCCTTGGGTCTGGGAAGGGAGCAGCAAGGGGAAGAGCATGCTGACAAGGGGAGACGCACCCTGAAGGAGCCCAGCATGGACCAACTGTATCTGGGAAGGCCAGAGGGACTGCTAGCAGCCCATGGATGACAATGGCCAGGGCTCGACAAACTGCGGCAAAATCCACTCGCCAGCCCCGCACCGCGCATGCGTCAGACCCGCATTGCGTATGCGCATGCTGCCGGCAAACGGGCAACCGGCTGAAATCATCGAGCCCTGACAATTCTAGTAATGGAAGCCTGGAACTATTTCTGTGTGTTAATTATTAGCTATTAATGAATAAGAGGTTACTGAAGGCTAAGTGAACCGGGACTGATTTACAGAACCAAAAGGGGAACCGAGGCACAGGTCTTGGGCCTGTGACAACTGTACACATTTCTCTATATTCCTGTTCGCTTAGGGAGTGTCTACACAGCACCCTAAACTCAAAATAAGGTTTGCACTATGCAAATTGCGTATCTTCTTTCAAAACTGTTTTGAAATCGCTTATTTTGAAATGTGGCGCGTCTACACAGCTCCACATTGCTAAAGAACGCATTATTTCGAGCCATCCCTTATCCCTTGTGCAAGGAGGTTCACCAGGCTGGCGAAATAGCACGCCTGTTATTTTGAAAAATATTTTGAAATAACAGGCAGCTTGGGTAGACGCAGGGTATCCCGAAAGAGCCGTGCAGTGTAGTCCTCCACGTACCCCAACAGTGTAAAAGTGCCACATTTGGATGAAATAACCTGTCTTGGACTCAAGTACCAAAAGGGAGGGGAATCTGTGGGGTCCCTGCATTGAAGGCATTTACGTTACATCAGGGACAAGTTTGGCCCAGTCAAAAAGTTTGCCCAGTAGAACTGTTTGGAAAACCCAATGCCAAGACATAGGCTATGGCCAGCAAGAGAAACCTGCCTTTCCGTTCTGGAGCTAGCCAGGAATTCATCCAGCAGGGGATAGCGGCCTCAATCTCCCATTCCCCACTGGCATGCAGGTAATCTGCAAGATTTGACTTGACTTGTTTGACCTGGCTTCACTTCAACACGGTTTCCACATTTCCACACAGCGGACAGTCAACATCAGAAAGGATCAAAGCTTGACTGACGCAAGCTCCCAAAAAGGTGGCAGGATTTTCAAGGAGCACCGTGCACTCTGCGGCCCCTGTGGAAGTCATTGGGAAACTTCAGCGCCCAGTGTCCCTGAAAATGCAGCCACCTATAGATTTAAACCGTAGGCTCCTGTGTTTGGCAGGCCGGCTGGCTCTTTGAACGAGGCAACCGTAAAAACGATCCATGTACCAACAACCATGTCACCGTCATTTTAAGCCTTCTGAAGGCTAGAAAGTCTCTCTGCTGTACAGAAAACTAGCCTACGGTAATTCAGCGATGGCTTCGACTTACCCCCCTCAATAGCATGCAAAGCAGCCCTGGAAACAGGCAGAAGACCCAGATGAAGCAGTGTTGTCAGAAGTCTGTTAGAGCTTTTACCCAAGCTAAAGCAGCGCTTTAAGGGTGTGGCAACAACCCAATTTCTTCCCCCTACTTAAGCTCAAGGCTAGAGCCACACTAGGTAATCTAGATGTTGAATGTGTTCTCGGCCTCTCAAAACAACACGCAGCGCGTCCCTACTGTATGTGAACTCCGTTCTCGGCCAGACAGCGCAGTCAGAAATCGCCATATCCATTCATGTTCGAGCACAATTGTCAAGGGGGGGGGATGGGAATCAAAACTCAACTTGATGCAAGGGAGCTGTTTCCAACTCTCCCTCCCAGGCACAAGCACGCACATGTGTGTGTTGGGAGGGTGGGGGCTCAGAGACAAGCTACCCTTGTCCAAAGGATGGCTGTAAGGCAGAGACTGCCACCTTTAAGAGGGAGATGTACCAGGAGCCCAAGAGCTGCAACGCCTCCCCACCAGATTCCCCTCGTTCGTTTGTGGACAAATACAAGTGCCTGCCATGGATCCAGTGTGCTCTTAGGGGACTCGTGCCTGTTCGTGAGGCTGCCCCCGTCAATGGCAGGTTGGTATTGCTAAGTGCAACCCTCCCCTTGCAGTTCAGAGGGCTGCAGAAACCAGGCAGCCAGCTCAGGGAGCAGCTATGTGCTTCCCATTCCGTTTCCCCTATTTAAAACAGGTCGCGCTCAGCGAGGGGACCTCTCCACGGCCATTAAAAACCCACGGCTGGCCCGTGCCCACTGACCCAGGCTGCAGGGCTGATTGATTGCCGTGTAGACATCTGGGTGGGGCTGGAGCCTGTGAGGATCCCAGAGCACCCGAAGCCTGAGTATCTGCGCTGAAGCCACAGACCCATGTGCCCAAGTCAGCCAGCATGGGGCGGCCACGGCATCTCGCTGCAGCCTAGGCATCCTGGGAGCGTTTGCAGGAGGCAGCAGGAGAGGCCGCAGACTGAACCCGCTCAAAGGCAAAGCGAGCACGTGAGGAGAGAGGAAATCCCCATTGGAGATGCAGTCATGCCAAGAGACAGAGGGCTGCTAGGGGACAGCAACTTCGACTTTGCAGTATCAAGCCACGTGCAACATCTCCCTGGCACTGAGCAGGAAGATCAGCAGGTTTTGGTACAGCTGCGCGCAGACTCTGCTCCCTCTGAGTACTGCAAGGCCAATAGGGCTGGGGGAAGGGGAGCAGGATAGCGGTCTGAGCAATAGAGAGGTCGACTGCAAGGAAGAGGAAAAGGGGTTTGGGAAGGTTAATGGGATACAAGTAGGGGGCAGGGGAAGTTAGCTGAATCAGGGAACACTTTCTAATGGCGGGAGAAGCGTCTCAGAAGCGATGGGAAAATAGCCAATATCACCTGGGAGACCACTGAAAACCTGTGATTCTCCAAAACGTACATTAGGGACCAATGCTCTGTGGGATGGGTGACGATTTGGAAAGGTTGCCATCTAGCTCCTAGGGGCAGGATCGGTTTGAGTCAAATGCATGTTTTGCAGGAAGAGCTGGGGGGGTTTGTTACATGTGCAGAAAGCAAAAAGAACCCCTTTGGTGCTACACTGTCTCCTTCCACAGTGAGACCAGACATTGGGGAAACTTCAGCGGCAAGAAACTCTCACCACTGCATTCGTGGTTTATGCTGAAGGGTTTTTTAAAAAGCAGCCAGCATTGCATGTGTAAGGTCTCCCTAGAGATCCCGTCCTTCAGCAACTTCCTCTCTTCCGAGACCAAGCCAAAGCATCTGCAAGTTCTCAGCACAGTTCTAGTTTTATCCAAAGGCTCCGTTGCTTTTTATCCATTCCCTATTAGTCACACACGTCTTGGACAGTACAAGGGATGTGAATGGATAGCTGGTTACCCGCTAAGCATCACCCTTACTGGGTCAGGCTTACCTGTTAACAGTTCACTGGTTCCCCAGCAGCCTGTGCTGGCAGCCCACTCAACACAGCTGGCGCTAGGAGCTAGGAGCCAGCCCTGCATGGGTCTGGGAGTAGGAAGCCCACCACAGATCCCACTTAGATGGTTACACATTGGGTTAACCTAATGTTTAACTGGTTAACTGATTGACTGGGATTTTACATCCCTAGACCGTACCATTTCTAGCTCAGAAAATAATCTGGATGGTTCAGAATTTCGACATGAACCATGGATGGTTTTCTCTTTGGGTTTTTGGTTTTACATAGTTTGGTTTTAAAGTCACCCTAGGGTCTCATCTTCAAATTTCGCCAACGCGGGGGAAAGAGGCCTGACCAGAATATGAGTGAAGAACAAAAATGAACCATCATCTATGGGCATTTCTTATTTCCAGCAGTGGATGTTACTGAAGAGGTAAGGAAGGCAGGGCATGCAGTAAGAGAATGCCAGCTGTCTAGCCCTGGTGCCTTTGTATCCTTAAACTAACGTGCCCGGCCACCAGGTGGTTTTAATTTATTTTCAGATGTATCAAAAGAGTGAAGGGAAAACCCTGGAGTCCGTTAACAAATAGGGATTTGCTACTGAAAGGGCTGACGTATCAACCGGTAGGTTATAGTGGCCAGTATAGATATGACACCATGGAATACAAATACAAAAAAGTGTATTTATAATTGCCTGTATAATATATACATCCTGTACATTATACATGCTTCCCACTGCTCATTTCACAGAAAGTTTACTATCAGTTTAAATTGTTACCATCTCACCCTTCAAGGGTGACCAAAATCCACTCCCCAAGCAAACAGCTCGTGCTGTTCCTCAGCCTGGCTTAGAACGTCCTAGTTCTTAGAACTTGAAAGGAGACCTTCTAAGCGACTGAATGAATTTACCGTCGCTTCCTGGAGGAAATTCCATTGCCAGCTTTTGGAGTCAATCCTGCCAGATGCTGAGCTCCCTAGAGACATCAGTCCAGAGGGAAGTGCCCAAGCACCTTGTGGGGTCAGACGCCACGGGCGCTGGGGAGGTAGAGATGCACCATGGCACTCTGGGGAACAGCAGGAAACTGGTCACGTTTACATGCGCTGACTGGGACGGAGGGTGGGTTTTACCGGGAGAACAGTTGTGCTTGTGAAGGCCGAGGGACTAGCAGCACTGGGAACGTGAATCCAGGCAGCCCCAGGCCAGACAGCACAAAAAGCCACAACGGGAGCTCTCACCACACACACGCTCATGCAACACAGATGCACACTAGCCCAACCAATGACTTTGCTAGAGGTAAAAATGTGGTTCCATCTCCTACGTCCCTCAGGTCTTAGGCTTTTCCTGAGCAGACTGTCAGCCGTGCTGAATGGTTTTAGACCTAGACTGTCCACTAGGACAGCGCTAAATGCACCAATGCTCCTGGCCCACGCTGGACTACGGGCTGAATTGGAACCAGAGTGCTAGAGAAAAAAGGCAAAGTTTATCCATGCCAACCAACTCCCCTCCCGCAAGGGTACAGCCCAGAAGTCATGTTTGCAATTAGAACAGCCCACACTGGTCTTCCTGACAAACCACTCATGTCAGTATCGCAACAGACAGCCTTCAGGTGCGGGTCAGAAATGTTTTGACAACACCAACAATAGGTTTAAATTATTCACATTGTGGTAAACTTCGGTTTTTAAAAAAGTCTGAGTTACAATAGGAACATCATGTGCAAAACTGTAAACCTGCCAGAGGGTCCCAGCGAGCGGTTACTGCTCAATGCAAGCTTCTTGCCCCAGCTCCTTCGCGTCGACGGCAGCAAAGGACACCCCAAAACCAGAGAGTTCTTAGAAGTCGGAAGGAGGGACTCTGGCTCCATCCCCCAACCTGGGTTCCTCTTTCGCAGCATGCTCACCTGCGCCAGGACATGTGTCTTCACAGTAAGACGAGCCCCAGTCACCATCACAAATCAGGCACGGATGCCAATGAAGCCGCTGACGGGGGGGAATAATCACACCCCGATTCATTCCCGAAGCCTCTCAGACGGGAAGGGCAGGAAGACAGCAGCAAAGGTTGCTGCACTTGCTACGTAAGGGCGGGAGAGAACAATAAAGCCCCTTGGAAAGGAGCAGGCTTCTCATCCTCCTGCCCCTGCTGTGTCTCATGAGGAATCCTGGTCCATGCTGCATCCAAGCGCTTCAATGTCGTTGCTGATATCGGAGATCATCCGGTCCCACTCGTCTCCCTCAGAAGGGGCAGACTGGTCATCTGAGCTCCCCGCTGCCCCATTCCCGTTGGTTGTTGAGTTGGAGGTAGTGCTCAGAGTCCGTCTGTACCTCCCAAAACTGTCTGTGATAATCCCCCGGCCATCCTTCACCCCGATGGTTTCTAGGAAGTTCTCAAAGTGTTGGCTGTCCTTTTCAGGAATGAATGGTCTAAGGCCTTCCCAGGAAGAGACAAACAAGAAGGAAATATGAGTCAGTCAGTCAATACATTTAGCAGGACATCACCCTGACCAAGACTATATTCACGATGTTCTTATCAGGGAGAGGTCTGCCACGGAAAGCCTTCAGGAGTTGGCTGTAGGACGCCAAGAAAGCCAAGAGGCAGCTTTTGACTCATCCTGTGTCATCCTTTCCTCTCCCTTCACCCCCAAGATCTGAGGCTCAAACAGAGGGGGGGGGGTTGTTTTAACTAAAACTCAAGTCACCCAATGCCAGTGCATGGGATGGTGTCGTTGCACCTCCTGTGCGACAGCTTCCCGCCGCCTGTAACCCAGGCGTGGGACAGCTTCCTTACACCACACACGTGGGGACGCGGGACAGCTTCCTTACACCACACACGTGGGGACGCTCAGGACAGCAAAGCACCAGGAGATGCTCAGGCGGAAGGGACCCGGAATGTAGAGCACTACTGAGTTTAAACAAAGCAAGAGACAAGGACAACTGCTCTGTCCCCACAAGAACGTCCTCCCAAGCTCACACTCTCCTTTTGCCCAGGTGCGCTGCCAGCTGCTGCGGGTTCCGAGAAGCACGCCATCGCCAGTTACACTCACGCTTTGTCCCCATGCAGCTATTCACCATCTCCCAGCCCGACCAGCGGGATCTGGGGCACCTAGGACAGGAGGGAGCGGCTCTGACACCATGCCAGCATAACCCTGGTTACTGTTTAGATCAGGGGTCTCCAGCCTTTTCGAGCGCGAGATCACTTTTTGAATTGAAGTGCAATCCAAGATCTACCTCAAACCCAAATACCCTGGCCCCGCCTCCTTCCCATCCCTTCGCTAAGGCCCCGCCCCTGCTCACTCCATCCTCCCTCACTTTCATCAGGCTGGGGGCAGGCTCTGGTCTTGGATGAAGAGATCTGGAGTGTGAGAGGGGCTTTGAGCTGCTGGGGCAGGCAGCTGGGATGTGGGAGGAGTTCTAGGTGCAAGCTCTGGGACGGAGTCTGGATGCAGGGGTGCTTGGAGTGCAGGAGGGGGTTCGTGACTGGGGTAGGAGTTCGGAATGTGGACTCCAGCTGGGCACTGCTGGTGGCTCCTGGGTGGTGGTGCAGTGGGGCTAAGGCAGGCTCACCCTGCAACTCCCTGGTTCCACAGGGAGTTGCAATCACAGAATCATAGAACACTAGGACTGGAAGGGACCTCGAGAGGTCATCGAGTCCAGTCCCCTGCCCCCATGGCAGGACCGAATACTGTCTAGACCATCCCTGATAGACATTTCTCTAACCTGCTCTTAACTATCTCCAGAGATGGGGATTCCACAACCTCCCTGGGCAATTTATTCCAGTGTTTGACCACCCGGACAGGTAGGAACTTTTTCCTAACGTCCAACCTAACCCTCCCTTGCTGCAGTTTAAGCCCATTGCTTCTTGTTCTATCCTCAGAGGCCAAGATGAACAAGTTTTCTCCCTCTTCCTTATGACCCTTTTAGATACCTGAAAACTGCTCTCATGTCCCCCCTCAGTCTTCTCCTTTCCAAACTAAACAAACCCAATTCCTTCAGCCTTCCCTCATAGCTCATGTCCTCTGGAATGGGGAAGACGACAACACTGCACCTGACTTGGGCTTTTCAAGACTATTTCCAAGGCAGTTCCCCTGGCTAGGACCAGAGTCTAGGAAATAAACAAGCACCAACAGCCTCAAACAGCCTGACCGGGCGAGCAATGCTCAGCCGTGGGCACTGGTGAAAACAAACTGCAAGGAGGAAGCCCTGGGTCCTGGCAGAAGAAATCCCATTTTGTACCCCTGTGTACCACGAGCCTAGCAGCATGCGTGGCACTCTGGCTTAAAGCATTGTCATAATAAAAGACTCCTTGTGGGGCCCATGGAATGACGGCAGGTCTCTGAGCTGTTACGCTGTGGGAGAGGAATCCGGCAGGCTACACAGAAAACAGAGGAGAGAGGTAGCCAGACCCACTCGTCACAGAGCCTCCCCTTCACCAAAAAACTGCAATTTACCGTTAAAAGCAAAGAACTGGGGCACCGCTGAGCGGCTTGCGCTTCTGTAGACTATTTCCCAGACGCCTGCTAGAATTACGGGCAGGTGCAGAGAGGTTATTTTACCTCTATTTGGCACGGGTGCGATTACGGCTGGAATCCAGTGTCCAGTTCTGGTACCCACGCTCAAGAAGGATATCGGTAAATTGGAGAGGGCTCAGAGAAGAGCCATGAAGATAAGCAACAGATTGGAAAACCTGGGTTTAGTGACCAGCTCAAAGAGCTCCAGCTGCTTAGCTACACAAGGAGACAGTGGGGGGTGACTTGGTTTCAGTCTGTAAGTATCTACGTGGGGAACAAATATTTAATAGCAGGCTCTTCAATCTGGCAGAGAAAGTTGTAACTGTCCAATGGCTGGAAGCTGAAGCTAGACAAATTCAACCTGGAAATAAAAGCATATTTTTTCATGGTGCGGGTAATTAACGATTGGAACATTTTCCAAGGGCCGTGGTGGATTTCCCATCGCTGATAACTTAGGAATGGATTCAGAGAGGTAGCTGTGTTAGTCTGACTGAAAAAACTAAACACATAGTCCTGCAGCATCAACCTCAGACTGGACCAGTCCACACAGGAGACCCATGGACAACCCCCTCACCTCAAACAAATTCTTTCCAGTAACCCCGCAGCACACCTCCATCAAACTCATCCAGGAACCCACCCCCGCCATCAACTCCGGTGCCAACTCTGTCCACACATCTACAGAAGTGACATCACAGGACCTAACCACAAACCACCACATCAAAGGCTCCTATAACTGCACATCCTGCAATGTGATCTATGCCATCAAGTGCCAGCAATGCCCTCTGCCATGTGTACTGGCCAAACTGGACAGTCTCTATGGGAAAGGACTAACGAACACAAATCAATTCAAAAAGGTAACACCCAGAAACCCGCTGAGGAACATTTCAGCTTGCCCAGGCACTCAATATAGACCCGTTCAGATCCATGAGTATTTCAAAGCAATTTCAAAAGCCAGCTTGAAAGGGAAGCTGCAGAACTTGGTTTCATTTACAAATTCAAATAGAAGTTTAAACAAAGGCCTGACCTGGATGAGCCGCTACATTCCTCATCCCAATGACACAAAAAGCCAAGCACTGGGTACTTAGAATACTTAGAGCCCATTCTACTAGCCTAATTTAGCATGGACACTGATTGACAATATTAAAATATGTATTGCAGTAAACCAAAACAATGTAGTGTACAAAGCCTGCAACCTAGATCCCTTAACTCCATTCATATGAAGAAGTGCGTTGTGCCCATTCACTGCATTTAAGTATGGACTTTCTAAAAACTCTGCTCTAAGAATTGGTTGGGGAAGTTCCCTGGCCTGAGTTATACAGAATGTCAGACTAGCTGGAGGACAATGAGCCTTTCTGGGCTGGGAAACTTCAAATTTATTAATGACCCTGCACTGAACCTTTTGGTAGAATCTAAGGATGTTAAGGACTAGTTAACTATCCGATAAGCAAATGCTTATCGGATAATCCAGCCTACCAGTCGATCTCCCACTTGCTGCCTCTATCTGATAGAGGCAGCAAAGAGGGGGGTGGGGAATACAAAGCGGCAGCGCCACAGGGAGCCCATGTCTGGCTGATCCTGGGTTCTGCAGAAATGCCGCGCGGAGCCCAGGATCAGTCCCCAGCTGACTCCAGGCTCCACGTGGCATTTCAAAGCAGCAGCGCAGCATGGAGCCCGGGGTCAATGGGGGACTCTAGGTCTCCCAGCGACCTCAGGCTCCATGAGGGCACTTCCGCTTTGAAACGCCACATTGAGCCCCTGCTGGGGATTCTTGTACATTTTAAAGCTGGCACCCCACATGCAGCTCAAGGCCAGCAGGAAGGCCCGTTGCCTCTGGGCTCCATGCTGGCCCCGGGCTGCATGTACAATCAGGGCGCTTGTACATTTCATAGAATCACAGAGCTGGAAGAGACCTCAGAGGGTCATCAAGAACAACCCCCTTCCAAAGGCAGGACCAATCCCAACTAAATCAACCCAGCCAGGGTTTTGTCAAGCCAAGACTTAAAAACCTCTAGGGATGGAGATTCCACTACTTCCCTAGGTAAACCCATCACAGTGCTTCATCACCCTCCTAGGGAAATAGTTTTTCCTAATATCCAACCTAGACCTCTCCCACTGTAACTTGAGACCATTGCTCCTTGTTCTGTCATCTGTCACTACTGGATCAGCCTCTCTCCATCCTCTCTGGAACCTTCAGAAAGTTGAAGGCTGCTCTCAAATCCCCCCTCACTCTTCTCTTCTGCAGACTAAACAAACCCAAATCCCTCAGCCTCTCCTCATAGGTCATGCGCTCCAGCTCCCTGATCATTTTGGTCGCCCTCCGCTGGGCCCTCTCCAATGCGTCCGCATCCTTTCTACAGTGGGGGGCCCAGTACTAGACACAATACTCCAGATGTGGCCTCACTAGAGCCGAATAAAGGGGAATAATCACTTCTCTGGATCTGCTGGCAATGCTCCTCCTAATGCACCCTAATATGCCATTAGCCTTCTTGGCTACAAGGGCGCCCTGTTGACTCAGACCCAGCTTCTCATCCACTGTCCCCCAGGTCCTTTTCTGCAGAACTGCTACTTAGCCAGTCAGTCCCCAGCCTGTAACAACGCTTGGGGATTCTACCATCCCAAGTGCAGGACTCTACACGTGTCTTTGTTGAACCTCATGAGATTTCTTTTGGCCCAATCCTCTAATCTGTCCAGGTCACACTGGACCCTATCCCTGCCCTCCAGCGTATCTCTCTCTCCCCCCAGCTTAGTGTCATCTGCGAACTTGCTGAGGGTGCAACCCATCACCATATCCAGGTCAATAAAGATGTTGAACAAAACTGGTCCTAAAACAGATCCTTGGGGCACTCCCACTAGAAACTGACCGCCAACCTGACGTTGATCACTATGCGTTGGGCTTGACAGTCTAGCCAGCTTTCTATCCATC